AAACTCAGTGCTTTATCACTCAGCTCTATCTCTGCTCAGTGATGTGACTGTCTTTACTGAAACACCGTAACATTATAAAGTTGATTGAGAGGCAAGGATGAGTTACTGATGATCCTGGCAGTTTGCACTTGGTGTATGTGAATGAAACAGCCACATTAGGATTAAGTCCATGCTTTGGGCTGGCCTGTGTACTTCCTCTGTGACCCTTCCCTCTTGTCATAAAATAATACCTGACCACTTAACATTTTGTCCTATTAGATGGCTACTCTAGTGTTGTTGTCCAGAGGGCATAGGATACCAATAGATGTGCTCTCCAGGACTGTTTTGCACCATTGTTTTCCTTTAATAAATACTACTATATGTTTTAGTAATAAGGGTTAACTCTGAAATGTTTCATTTCTTAACAGTACAGTGCTCTGGATACCAACCCGCTCTCTCTGTATGTCATGCATCCATTTTGGAACGCTATAGTGAAGGTAAGATTATTAATGGCGTGCTTTTTTGTTTGAACAAGTTGTGAGTGTTTTAACCCATCTCACAGAGTCTTATCGCTGCCACCCTCAGTTTATTCTTTGCAGTTCTAGTTATTAGGTGGTCCACACAGAACTGTATCCTCAGCCTTCTTTTTACTTTCGGAAAATTTTGCTTTTAAATTTATTTATTAAATGTGAGTGTTTTGCCTACATGCATTTCTGTACCATGTGCATGCCTCCTGCCCTTGCAGGTAAGAAGAGGGCATCAGATGCCCTGGACCTGGAGTTAGAGATGGTTGTGAGCCACCATGTGGGTCCTGGGAATTGAACTCAGGTCCTCTGGAAGAACAAGTGCTCTTAACCACTAAGCCAACTCTCCAGCCCCTTTTTGCTTTTAAAACAGGGACTTGCTGAGTTGATTTGGACTTGGAATCCTCCTGCCTCACTGTCCTGAGTAGCTGAGATTACAGACTGTGCTTGCAGGCCCAGCCAACAGTGTTCTTAGTAAGCTGTAACAGAGGTACCACCCTCTCACCCCTTTTGGGGTATCTCCCTGTTGAAATCTAAATAACTACACTGTAATTGATCATCTTTATAAAAGGGCTTTGAAACCTTCTAAAATTAGCTGAATGCTATCATTATAGAAGTTTGTGCATTAAAGAATCATTTAAAGATAGGGGACAGGAGAAGAAAGAAATGTTCATCTACCAGCTGGAGTTATTGTTTTTATTTTAATATACCTAACACCTGCATATGATATTTCAAACTGATAGTGTTTTATGACCTAATTTTGTATGTTGTGATGTTTATTGAACAGAGCTTTCTTTACTTATTTTACAACTATTTTGAAAAAAACAACAACAGGTATTTCCTACTTGGCTGGCTCCCAACCTTATAACCTTCTCTGGCTTTCTGCTGGTTGTATTCAATTTCCTACTTCTGACATACTTCGATCCTGACTTTTATGCTTCAGGTAAGAATTTTATTATCTTAATACATAATTTTAAATGTTTTGAGTAGCAAAAATAAGGTGTGGTTAGTTAATTTCTGAATCTAAGATGCTTATGTTTCTGAAAGTTTTGGGTGTTAAAATGTTATATTAAGATGCTGGAATTGTATATAAAACTAAGTTGTTTTTATATTATGTATATTCCGTTAAATTTTAGAAATATAGTAGTGCTAGGCAGTGGTGGTGCACACCTATACTCCCAGCACTTGGGAGGCAGAGGCAAGTGGATCTCTATGAGTTCAAGGCCAGCCTGATCTTCAGAGTGAGTTCCAGGTTAGCTACACAGTGGAATACTGTCTTGAAAAACAAAACAAAACAAACAAACAAACAAAAAAGGAAAGAAAGAAAAGAAATACAGTAGCATCCTACCTATTACGTTTAGATATACAGTCTAAAAAGCAGCGAGGCCCTGGCAAATAATGAATAATTAGAAGCTGGGTGTCATGGTGCATGCTTATAATCCCAGCACTTTGTATGTGGGGGGGCAAGAGAGTCAGGATTTCGGGGTGAGCTTTAGCATATAGCATAAGTTCACAGACATTACAAAAAAAAAAAAGATTTACATGTAGACAGAACTTTAGGGTTGTCAAACTGTCTAAGAATCAGTACTAAGTAGGGCCCACCAAGCCTACAATGCCAGGGATGACCCTCTCCTATCTCCAGTCATGGAAGAAAAATCACCTCTCTTCTTCAGGGAAAATGGTGTCGCCTTCCATCTGTTCATTTCTTTTCTTTACACAACTCCTGGTTTCCTCTGAAAATGGTCCTTAGTTGGGCCTTACTAGGTTTTTTGTTGTGTCTTTTTTTGTGTGTAATAGGGATTAAACTCAGGGCCTTACACATGCTAGGCATGTACTATACCACTAAGCTTTAAATCCAGCTGAATTTTTCAAGTTTTATTTTGAGGCAGGGTCTTACTAAGTTGCCCAGGCTGGCTTCCAACTTTCCATCCCTCTGCCTGAGCCTCTTGAGTAGCTGGAACTACAGGCCTGAGTCTTACTAACCTGGGACCTGCTAACTTTCACTATTAGTTCTGCATCAGAATGTGTTGTGAAGTAACTTAACCTCTCATTAACAAGTAGCCCCATTTCTCACTGGCGGCAGGTGGGGTGGGGAGAGCTATTGTAGTTAGACTATTAAAATCTTGGTTGCTTCCCTTTACAGCACCAGGTCACAAGCATGTACCTGACTGGGTTTGGATTGTCGTGGGCATCCTCAACTTTGTAGCCTACACTCTAGGTAAGAAACTGGCAAATGCTCATTTATTCGTGGCTGGCATATCAGCAAGACTACACTCATTAAATTATCATTTTATTCTATGCTTTACTCATTTTAACTAGGGTCTGTTAATGTCTTGTTCATTTATATTTTTGAATCTGTGAAAAGCAGCGTCACTGCTAGGGATTCAGAATAAAATAGGAATTGGCAGGCGACTGCTTGCAGGCCAAATCTGGACAGCTTCTATTTTTGGAAGTAAGTAAGGTTTTGGTTGCTGTTTTTTGTTGTGTGGTTTATTTTTGTTGTTCAGGAAATTTTCCAGAGCTCTTTAGTAATTTCCTGCATACACATCATATGTCTAGGTTGTATCAACCCCCTCCTCAACTTTCTCGGAGCCCCCTCCGCATCCCCTTCCCAACCTCATGTCCTCTTCGCTTCTTTACCCACTGAGCCCGGTTAGTGCTGCCATATGTCATGGGTGGAGTGAGCGCCATCGGGGCAGCCTACCAAGGACCACACCCCTGACGAGAGTGGCCTCCCTTGGCACGGCTTTGCTGGAGCACAGCGGTCGGTGTGCCTTTCCGTATGTGCTCTCGGTGGCTGCCTTCCTGCAGTAAAGGTGTATTGAGGAGTTGCAGCCGAGTCTCACCGTGGGGTACGACCATGAAGCCGACAGTACCCACTATTGGGCCTTTACCACAGATTTACCAGCTCCTGGAGTAAGACACTATTTGGGCCTTAAGTTTGGCAAGGAATCCTGACATGGATATTAAGACTGAGTTTATTCTTGTTTACTGTTACATCCCAAGTTTCTAGAACATCGCCTGGCACACAGTATCAGTTCAATATTTGGTTTCAAATACATGTAAAATAGCAGACCTGAAGTTCAAGTTGTTTGAGTCTTTTCAAATACAAATAATTTGTTCTCGCAGAACCAACCAGTATAATGTGGCGCATCAGTGTTGATGTGGTTAGAGGTGAGAGCCGTAAAAGAGAAGATCAGTGAGGTCTCTAAGAGCCAGGGAACCTTAGCTAAAGGTTACATGCTTGAGTAGAGGCTTTATACACTTGTTAGAAAAGGTGAGCAGGGTTTGAAGTGCTGCTAATGGAGTTCGTTGCCAAGGGCTGCCTGAGGACTAGGGAAAGATGGGGTGACCTGTGAGCTCTTGCTATGCGCAGCATTTCATATGAGCCTGCTAAGGCTCCATGTTCCGGTTATTTCAGGTCCACAGTTCTGCAAAGAGCCTCACTCGACACAAGCAGCTTGTTGCAGAACTAGTCCTGAACTAACAGGAGGCAGTTTATCGTCTTTATTAAGTGTGACTGTGTGACTGTGCGAGAGCATCACAATTATTTGGCACCCTAGTAGTTTTGTTAGGGCTGAGCATGTCTTTCAGAATAATGGAATGTCTTATAAATCACCACCATCCTGAGCAAAAAATTACATTCTGAAACATATTCAGACCTAACGAAGAGAGCTGGAATGAAGTTGCTGGAAAAATGCACAAAATCTAATTAATATGTATTTTGTGTATTTGATGGTTTAACCATATGAGTTGCACAGAAATTAGAAAATCGTTAAGCCAGTGAATAAGAGAAAGATTTATTTTTTTATTTTTTTATTTTAAAGCTGTTTCAGCTACATAGGAGCAGAAAAGAATCCCAACCCCGTGTGCCCCGCCCCCGCCCCTCTTCATCTCCCCCTTCCCTCTCTGTGAGAACACTGCTGCTCTCCTGGTACCCAGGCTGGAAACTTGGGCAGCTGTCTTCCTGGGTCTCTTGTGCATCTCGTCTTTACGTAGTCTCTCAGTTTTGCTTGTTTGGTTTTCTCCGAGAGTGTCGCTTGTGGCTCAGCTCCAGTTGAGACCCTCCTTTCTCTGTCACCTGAGTGGAGATCTGCACCCCTGCACCCCAGTTTGGGTCCTTCTTTGTTACCGTTCCTCTGCCACCAGCTTTTCATTCCCGTGGTGCTCCCCCTCTAGCTAGGCTAACCGACTAGGGCCCCTGTTTCCAGCCTGTCAGTCACACTGTTTGAGCGAACCTAGCTAAAGCATGACTTTGTCTCGTGTCCTTCTAGTCATACGTCTTTTTATAGTTCCCTCTAGCCCCCAAAACGTTTGGAGTGGCTCAAGTCTCTTGTTAGAGGTTTTGTTCTGTTTTGTTTGTCTCTAGTAGAGGACCAAGTGTGGTGGTTTACTTTTTTTTCCGTTTTTGATGTATGAATGTTTTACCTGCATGTACGTATGTGCACCATGTGCATGTCAAGTGTCTGAGGAGGCCAGATGAAGGCATCAGATCTCCCAGAACTGGAGATAAGGGTGGTCGTGAGCTGCCATGTGGATGCTAGGAACCGCACCTGGGTCCTCTGCAAGAGCAGCAAATTCTAAGCCAGCTCTCCAGCCCTCCTTGAGCCTCCTGATGCTGCCTCCGCCTACTAGATTCTTCTTCTTCTTCTTTTTTTTTTTTTTTTTCCCCCAGACAGGGTTTCTCTGTGTAGCTTTGGTGCCTGTCCTGGATCTTGCTCTGTAGACCAGGCTGGCCTCGAACTCA